ATAGGAATTTGTGTGGTCTTGTCTACTGAACTCCCAATGACCACTCAATCCTGTCCATTCGCCGTCGAGGAACCTAGGCCTACCGCCCCAGCTGGTCATCTCCTGTGCCAAGAAGGTATGGTAACAGTACTCTCTAGCGCAGTGTCTTGTTGTTGTTAGGTTCGGCCATGACTAAGCGCAGCAGTACCCGAGTCCATCATGCGCCAGGTGAAGCCTGAGTATTATCAACTGTCTTGACCATCGGCCCTTCAGGTGGAGCTTCGTCTCTCAACCTGTCTCATGAGCCGACCGCAGTACCGGAGAAGTAGGACCACGTTGGTTCACCTGACGATACCTGTTTGTGTAAGGATCTCCTCCAACTGTTTCGCCTCTAAGAGTGACCCGAATGGTGCCAACTCGATTACCGGCAGACCGATGACTAAGGTGCACGCACCTCCGGGTGGGAAAGAGTCATTCTCGATTGGTGAGCTATGCGAGGGGTACAGATCAGTCGACTGGGAAACATAATATGTTAGGAGCTATGTTCGGTGGAGATAAGGGAGAGACCGGAAATAAATTTACGAGTAAGTCGAGCCCCATCTTGACACGCATGCCACAGCAGAATGCGCTATGGGTGGGTAAGCCGCCACGGTCTCATTCATCTTTAGATGTTCCTCCTGGAGGCCCATGCACCGATCAGAGCAATCTGTCCAGCAATACCTATGCGAAGGACTCCAATCAGAATGGTGGTAATCTCATCACCAATAGAAGAATGACGAAAGTAGATTCCTAGCCTGAGAGCTTGTTCGAACGTGTTGTTGTGCTAGGTCCAAGCACCGCCTGGAGGCTGCAGCAACCTGACCCTAGGATGAGTGAATCAAGCGGCATCTCTAATTGACACAGATTTTCCGATCATTATCATGGATGCGAACGCCATAGCAATGCACAAACACTTTTCAGTTTTCGGCTATTGTGTTGAGACAATAGATTGATCATCCTCGATGATGCATCAAGGGGCCGAACGTCTCTGGAGTTGCGTTCACTGATGAAGGTTCATCAGCAGCACGCTCGTGTTTGATACATCCATGGCCTAAACGCCAAGGCGAACGGAGCGGTGTACTCGTAGACCTCAACATGGAAGGTACGGGGTGCTATAAGATGCAACTGGTTGGAGTCAGCGCATCACTGGTCTCCGAATGTTGGGGACTTTGCGACACAAGCTGTACAGTAGAAGCTGCACTGGATGCGACGGCGATACAGAACCTCTAATATGGTTA